TCTTGTGGCATATAAGTTAGGATGGCTCAGTTGTCAACTATCTGCACAACGTTGAGTTTTTTCACTTTTGACAAACGAGCTGAGATCTCGGTCGGCAATTCTTCTCGCCGAGAGTAAGCTCGCCTCTTAGGCCGGATGACTGTCGGCGTGATGATAAAATTCAGCAAGAACTATAGAATTAGGTTGCCAATTAAAACATCTTTTGTAAAATGAAATTCACTTTCCCCCCTCCCCTTGTGTCCTCCTGAAGAGGGTAAAGGCTCAACATAAATCTTTTTCGTCTAATGTAGAGACCTTGACAGAAGCAGTGCAGTGTACTGATGATCAGGAAAGATCACAACCTGTGGAACAAGCAGGCCACTCACGTTATGGTGCACGAAAATTTTTGGGAGGTAAGATAAAAATTATAAAACGTCCGTTTACGATAGTCGAGTTTTGCCAGTGGCAAAAGTTTTGCCAGTCGTCACGTGACTTATAACTGAATAAACTGAATATTAACAAAAAGATTCCTTCAGCAAAATGGCGAAAGGAAAATAAAAGAGTAGTAAGTCTTTCTGGGTGCATTTCAGTGACTGTTGGGATAATTCTTACAAATTCATCTTGGATCTGTGTTATGTTTGATACAAGAGACTATAAAGGGGACAGAGAGGCCATCCCCCATATACACCCTATTCCATAGGTAATTCGTCTCGAGTTATTTTTAGAATCGGGATGAAGTTACCTCGCGCGAGGCGTGGATGTTTCGTGGAGGTTTCGCATGACCAAACGCCGTGCAAAACATGTCGGGCGAGAGGCAATGAAAGCGTAAAAAGATCGAGAGCATTCCTGAATATTGAAGCGAAATGAGTCGGCGCTCACCTGGGAAAAAGGAATCGCTGGACTCTTTGACAACCCGTGAAATCAGTTTAACTCGAAGTTGTCGTAACCTCAGTGCTTTAATAAAATGAGAAATTTCGCCGGTCTATTGAAACCGGTCGTTTGTACAATTTAGGGAGTTTAAGATCCAACGACGCGGACGACAACTAGAACGTCAAAAAAACAATAGGTTTAATTAGCAAAACAACAACTTCGCACGTGCAACACACTTTTTTGTTCATTTCTTTCCCGTTTTTGCACGACTACGACGTGAAAATGCCTAATTTCGCGTTTTATGGAGGACGTAAATAAGCAACGACGAAATTTTATTTCTCTTTCTGAGCTTGAATATGGTCCCTTGAAATTCAGCTTTAGGAGGGTTCGCCTACAATTGACAAAGTAAGTGGGTAGGAATAATCGCTATAAAGACTGAAAAAAATAAACATCAAACCAGAAATTGCTCTCTTCAAACTGTAAATTATAAATGATCCTGAGAGAATATTCAGTGTGTTAAGGATTTCCCTGCTCTACTGTTAGCTCTATACAAGAGAGGAAGGGCGATTCTTTTTTAATTTCGGTTTCGCTGACACAGCTTTCGCAGAAATCTCGCTGTAGTCGTTTTCGTCGACAAAAGGAATAGCAAAATCGCTCTCCGCGTCTTCCCCCATTTTGTTCCGCGTCAATTCGTGGAGGACGCGTGGCTCTAGCGTGGGTCGTCCACGCAGAATACATTCGCGCTATGTGATTGGCTGTTGTCCAATCCCCCTTGGGTTCTGCGGTTCTAAAAATAACTCGAGACGAATTACCTATGGAATAGGGTGTATATGGGGGATGGCCTCTCTGTCCCCTTTATAGTGTCTTGGTTTGATAGGAATGAGTAACTAAACAGGAAAAAAAAGGGTCACTTGACTTGTTACTTACACCACTAATGGCATAAATAACTATTTCCAAAGTACAAAGTTTACGGATTACGGTACGATGCTTTGGTAATAATCTAGCAATAAAAATTTCTGAGATTTATATGGTGTGCCATAATTCCCCTTTTACTGATAAAAACGTGTTTTGTGATGTCATCGGGTAAGAAATGTCACGTGTCATTTTGTAATGATTCACGATCACCGGCAAATAGCATTTTATAATATATGCATATTTACTCATTAGGTAGTCAGTGGCCTTAGATTATTCCCACTTCTGCCCAACCCAGCCCAATCCAAAGCTATCAAATCATGAGCATTCTTACCATGATTATTCAATAATCGTGTAATTTGGCGTTTCATTTTATAGGTGTGCCTGGTTCTGTGAAGAATCCGTACAAGCCTCTAATGGTGAATAGTGAAGAGAAATGTTACAACGGTACGAAACATATTAGCAAAGAGTAAATTTGTTGAAACACCAAGATCAGTTCCCTGTGTTATATGTTTTTTTTATCTCTTGCCCTGACTTGATCGCTGACAACTTATCTTATATAATCCAATGTAAAATTCTTTATTCAAACGTGTTCCACAGGAGCGATCAAGGAGACAGAAAAGGCCAAACTCCAACTGCGCGGTGGAGTGAAGTTAGCAGTAAAGTTCGACGTGGAAGCGAGACTTTTCTCTGATACGGAAGAAGAGTGAACAGTTGAAAAGGGAGAAAACTACTAGCCCTGGTGTTTAGACTGTGAAGTGACAATCATTCATTATTATTTCATTTAGTTTAGGCGAATCTTTGTTGACGTCATTGTTTACATTTCTGCATATTTATCGCATACGAGTTAACCCATAGAAGGCGTCACCGCATGCGCAAATTAAATTCAAAAGTTAAAGAGTCAATTAATTTAAACAATTCGTGCAATCTTCAGCTCTTTTCAAGCAATAACAAAGCAGACAGGAGCCATTGAAAACTGCGAAATTGCAAGGTGGCAAAAACGTTAATGAGCCTAGACATTCTTTGAAAACGTTTTGAGTTTTCAAAGATAATTTTGCCGGAACTATTTGGCATATCGGGCTAAAATTTTCACAAATTACTGAAATTGTTATGTTTTTTTGATATTCAGAATTTATTTTAATAGCTATTAAAGCTTGATCAAAGAATGAAAGGCATATGTTCATAAGGAAAAAAATGTAAACAAAGATTCGATAGGATAGGAACTAAATAAAACTTTTTCCAGGTAGACTGCCGGTCAATGAAGATTGTCAAAACACTAAATGACCGGCAGTTTACCCTGCTAGCAGAGTCGCTTCGATCTTTCCTAGATAAGTCGGGAAAGGGGAAAGGGGAAAGAGGAAAGAAAGAGCAAAGAGGAAAGAGGAAAGAGGAAAGAGGAAAGAGGAAAGAGGAAAGAGGAAAGAGGAAAGAGGAAAGAGGAAAGAGGAAAGAGGAAAGAGGAAAGAGGAATGAGGAAAGAGGAAAGAGGAAAGAGGAAAGAGGAAAGAGGAAAGAGGAAAGAGGAAAGAGGAAAGAGGAAAGAGGAAAGAGGAAAGAGGAAAGAGGAAAGAGGAAAGAGAAAAGAGAAAAGAGGAAAGAGGAAAGAGGAAAGAGGAAAGAGGAAAGAGGAAAGAGGAAAGAGGAAAGAGGAAAGCGGATAGAGGAAAGAGGAAAAAGGAAAGAGGAAAGAGGAAGCTGGAAAAAGTTCTAAGTGTCGCGAAACATGGTTTCGTTTTCAGAGCTTAGCGTAAGCCAAAGGCTAAACTTGAGATTTGTAAAGCGTTTCAGGATCGCTTGACTTTTCTTAATCGACATATGATAGTTTAGATTAGATGGATTTTTTCGATTTGTCAAATTTATTGAGAATATAGGACTACTGGTCATTTAGTGTTTTAAAAACCTTGACCGGCAGTCGACCTGAAAAAAGTTTTAAAGCCTGAAGTGTCACAAAACATGGTTTCGTTTTCTGAGACCAGCTTAAACCAAACGCTAGTCTTGAGATCTATAAAGCATTTCAGGATCGCTTGACTTTTCTTAATCGACATATGATAGTTTGGGTTGGTTGGGATTCTTAGATAAGTCAAATTAATTGAAAATACCGGACTGCCGGTCATTTAGTGTTTTAAAACTGACCTTAACCGGTTACCGGCCATATAGCCACAGCGGTGAAAAAAATGGCGATCATGTACGACATAATCAGTGCACATTTTCAGAAAGTTTTAAGTTAGCGGCATCAGCTGAGCCAGAAGATGGTCATTAACTTGGCACAAGTAGCGCTAAGAAATAAAAAAGTGAACTTCTACACTTGCCCAATTTGAATTCCAATGCTTTCAAGAGCATTTCTGAGCCTTTAGATTTCAGAATAAAAAAAGAAAAAAGTCTTGGCCCTCCCACTTCCTGGAATAATGGATTAATGCATGATCCTTCAGAAATACCCAAACAAAAACATCTGACCCTCCCCCCCTACCTATCCAAGACAAAAATAACCAGAAGTGAAAATAACAAACTGGAAGCTGCCTCGTACCCAGACGTCTCTCTTTTGACGAAAATGTGTGGGCAAAGGAAGGTGGGAAGGAGACATCTGTACCCTTCCCATGGTCCCTTGCGGTTCATCACCAGTCACTCGTTTCGCGCTCACCTCTGCCCTGCGAAAAACGAAGCGCCTGAGGAGGAGGCTGATGTTGAGGGCTCTCCCTGACTGCGCACAAGCCTTTTCTATTTGCTCACAAACTGAAAGGGAATACATGGACGTTAATCTTTCTAATTGGTCAGTAAGTCCAAACTGATAGCAATAGGCTGTGCACTGTCAAGCTTAAAGAATTTCTTCTCAATAGGTATTAACTTAATATTGCTTTCAGCTTTAGTTACTCTCATTTTTTGTAGAAGCTTGCACTACTTTTTCTGGTCCATGGCCATATTAGACTTACTTATTTTTAGTTCTGAGGAAACCGGATTGTTTATAAGTCCCGTGGTTTCTTTCAGGTCTCCACGCGATCTGCTTCCTTTACGGCTTTCTTTATAATACCACCTTTATTGTAATGATGTGTGGTATGGCGAATAAACATGAATGAATGAATGAATGAGTGAATGAATGAAAAGTCAAAAAAGCTAACAAAAACTTGTAACAAAAAAAAGTCTGACTCTAACGGGCTTCATAACCAATGCTTTTTAACTATGCCCTGATTCATTTTTTCACTTTGTTTGTAGGACTGTGGGGACTGGTGAATAATGCGGGAATAATGTTCTCCAGTCCTATCGAGTGGACTCCTGTCAGTACATTTAAACTCCTTGCAGACGTTAATCTGTGGGGGATGGTTGACGTGACTAAAGCATTTCTACCGTTGCTGAAAAACGCGAAGGGAAGAGTTGTAAACATGTCTAGTACCGCAGGTAAGTATGTAACAAAAAAAGCTACACAATGAGTAAATAAAAATTGCTAATCTTGCGTTTTTGTTTGAATGTGTGATGTTAATTTACGTCGTCTGATGAAGATTGAAAATAACGACGTTACTAAATGGACTAAATGGAGTTTGAAAGATCGTTAGTATGTTATTAATAACTAAGAATGGTGGTTGACACTCTAAGTTATCTATTTCCCAGCAACATTTTCCTTCCAACGACATATTTTCTATTTTCTTATCCAAATCTCCCAGCCAGCGAAAAATTGCAAGAAGAACAGATATTTTGAGGAACATATCCATTGAGTGTCCCTGAATATCTCAGTCGACCCCACAATTTCACAAATTCATTCTTCTCTACCACATTAGGTCTTAGTTAAATTTAATAGAACTGAAAAAAAGTAATTTTTATTTACATGTATATCTCTTAGACTGAGTGAATTAAAACCATTAGAAAAAGCCACTTTGTGAGCTGCTTGGATATTTTGAGGTTGCCGTTGGACTGGGTCGATGTTTTATCGTATTGGATTATGGGACAGAATTGGAGGCGCTGTCGCTGTTTTCATTGGCTAATACTAGGTCGCAAAAGACACTGGGTCAAAACTCGTCACCCAAAACAGTCCCATTGTCTGAAATTGACACAGCAGTGACTCATAGCCAGTCTTGCACACAACCTAAAAAGTGGCCACTGTGTATGTAATGGCATGTTATCCTCAACAGGCCGAGTCGCTATTAGCTTGACTGCAGCTTACTCTGTGACTAAATATGGTGTAGAAGGTTTTTCGGACGTCCTCAGACGAGAAATGCATCCCTGGGGCATCAAAGTAAGCATGGTTGAGCCGGGAGCACACCAAACTCCGATGACAGACCCTCGTACGTTTGAAAGACAATTTCGACAAGCCTGGAATGAGTTAAGTGCTGAGCTGCAGAAGGATTACGGACCAGAATACTTGGAAAAAGGTATTCCTGTATTTATTTATCTTTTATTTACACTGTCCATTGCAGGACTGGCTGTATCAACTCGAAAATTTGATCGTGAGATTGCCACTTTGGAAAGGAAAGCAGTGCCACGTTGTTCAAATTGCAAGACTACTGCGACAAAACGAAATAGCGCGAATAAGTGTGACGTCACGTTACCAAGGTAGCAAAATTTCTGGGTCACAACAACAGGGGGCTTAAGCAACGACAAGGGTGACGGCAACGAGAACGGCAAAAAAGCAGTACGTTTATTTTAGTAAAACAAGAACTTTGTACCTGCATCACGCTTTTTAGTACATTTCTTAGTCGTCCTTGCACGACTGCGACATGAAACTTCTTAATTTCACGCGCCTGCTTTATGAAAAAGGTGAACACAACACAAAAACTTAGATACGGGTCTTTCGGATTTAACCCCAGAAAATTTCGCAAACATTTGACAAATTAAATGAAACTGAATATGAGCAATGAAGTTTGAAACAATGCGAATTTAGTTTTTCAGTGACGTTTTCAGTTTGTTTTCATCCAGAAATTTTGCTGCCATGGCAACGTGACGTAATGACTTCTCCTCTCTGTCAATCAGCCATTTTTTAAAATGACGTCATTTGACTTCGGCTGCCGTCTATGCATAGTCCATGTCACGTTTATTCTCAATGTGACAGTGATGATTTAGTTGAAAAACCTTTTGCGCAATTAGCAGCAAACCTTATCTTTTAGATCGAGTTCTCTAAAGTGACCGGATAAATGAGACACATTCATTAACGATATTGTTCCTTTTTAGGAGTATCATTTATGACATCATATAAAAAGTCACCCAAAACCTATCAAGTTGTGGACGCTATAGTGGAAGCGTTGTCGTCACAGACACCAAGTGATAGGTATTTGGTTGGTGTGGATGCACGATTTCTTTTCTCTTGGATGACTTTAATACCTGCTACAGTAGCAGACACCTTAATGCGCATACTCCTAAAGCCACCAGCACCGTTGGCCAGGAAGTAATGTATTATTGCACAGGGCACAGTTGCAACAATCTTTCTTGTGTCGTTTTTGGTTCAATGCTACTGATATGTACAACCGAAGTTGGTTTGTTTTGAATTTAACTCAAATTGATTAGAATAATTGATAAATGCCAGGATCTCTTAACCCGGAGCGTGCAACTCCCATACTAGGCCTATGCCACGGCGTTTTTATGGACCAGCGTTTTTGGACTTATTTTAGGATTCTATTTTCCTGCGAAAATAGAATCTCCAACATGAATTCAGAATGCAGAATTCAGCGAATCTCCATGTCTATGAGCGCATTCGAAATATAAGATCTCAAAAAGGAAAAAAAAAAACGTTATTAAAAGGCAAAAAATATTATTTTTAGGTCTGTAAGTTTTGCTAAATGGTTCGTAGAAATAAAAAGATATTCCAAATTCGCGCCAAAACCGTTCTAAAAATAAAGTGGTCCGTGAAAACGCCCCGACACGAACGTATGGAACTTGCTCGCTCCAGGTTATGGGCTCCTGCAAATACCACGATCAGTCATTCTAAAAGCATTACAGTTGATATTGATATAAAGAAAGTTAACATTACGGCACATAATTACTGTCTCCAAGTTAGGACAACTTACTCCTTCTTGGTCCTTCTTTAATTGTATTGTGTCTCCCATCATAAAGAAAATCAAAATTATGGTAAGTAAACTTGTTAACTTACTCTCAGAGCTAAGAAATTATTGGAAACTTGCTTTTAAAACGTCACCGATTTTAGAAAAACCTGTACTGTAATAATTGTTTTCGTTTTGATATTGTCAGCCGATGAATAACATCTGTGAAATTTTCTGAAAGACTTTACTAGTAGTCCCGGGCTAGTCAGGTATTCCAGGAATTCTCTTTGCGTTTAGTTTAATGTTTTTAACCTCATTTTAGTCGCAAATTTAAATGTGTAATTTTTTACTACTTTTATATGTAGGTAACTAAAGATAAAAGGAAAAAAAACGAAGTTAATGTTTCTCTTTATCTACTAATTACCTCTTTATGCATGATCCCTCAAGTTACCTAGCGTTAATCCTAGCATAGTGTTATGTATTGTCTTATAATTGTATACAGATTTTTTCGAGAAAGGTTGTCAGAAAAAATGTGCTCAATACACTGTTCCTGTCAAACCTACTTTAGTTGCTTTCCTTTAGTCCTCGCAAACACATGTCCATGGGTTGTCGTAGCATTCTTTTCAATTTATTTGAAGAACAGTGAACTCAAAACCACCCACAATACTTTTCGGGATTGTTGCGTAAACTTTTTCCGACAACCTTTCTCGAAATAGCTGTTGACTGCGCGCAAGCTCTCCATTTACGAAAAGTTGCGTGCAAGCAGCACACGAGAGAACACACGAAAGAAAGGGAAGGCGCCGGTCACTCGCGCGTTCGCGCGCGGTTCGCTTTCCTCGTCACAAGAAAAGTCCGCGTGGAGAGCTTGTCGCGCGCAGGCTTATATTTGTACATCTAGTGGATTTCCACTTTTGTTTCTGAACTATTAAAAAGTTTAGTTTTTGACTTCTCGACACCTCTTTGTCCCATTCAGGGAGTCCAGTGCGAAATGCAAATCTTTTTTGCCGTTATCACTTCCTAGGGTTGTTCATGGAGAAATATCCAAACAAAAAATGCAAATGCTGTCATACTCTATTAGAGTAAATAAAGCATGAGCCACGCCCAGATACGTCTCCTTTAGAGATTTAATTCTAATTTTCCGAGGAGCATCCCCGTCACTGTTATACATACATACATACTACATACTTTATTGCATAGCTCCCCCTTGGGGGCTCTTCCGTCATACATACACGAATTAAAATAAAATGAAATAAAATAAACTAGAAAACTATTTACATTTCAATGATAAAATAACGAATTTCTATAAATAATAATGAGCGTTAATTTTAAAGGCTATTTACATTTCAATAATAAAAAACTATCTATGAATTAAAAAGATATTTAAAAATTATCTTTTTAAAAGCGTTAAAATTTCCAGTTTCTCTTATATCTTTAGCTATACTGTTATAAAGTTTTGTTATATGGGAGTCAAGGCCGTCTCTCTCTATATAACAACAACATAATAACGAACATTGGCAGAACTAAAAGTCGCTGGAATCACCCTAAAACGGCCGAAAATGCTAAGAAACACCATAGATTTAGCCAATGAGACAAGGTAAGGAACGGTAAGAAATTCTGATGTACTTTTATAACCATTTTTGACCCCTAAATAACGATCGCTTAAATCCCCATACAATCTCTTAGCAAGAGCCATATATTATGGCTCTTGCCCTTACAATATTTCTGTCACGCAACAATGATTCTCACTCGTAAGCTTGGGGTACCTGTGGTCTATTTCTCGCTTGAGTAAGCCACAAAAAAAAAACTTTTACAATAATCCAAGCGCGACATAAAAAAAAGCATTGGACCATCATCTTAAGGTGATCTTTGCTCAGATACTTCCTCAATCTGCCGATGAATCGAATCGCCAGCATAGCCTTTTTGCATGTTTCATTGACTTATGATGACTACGATTGAGCTCTCTATCTAGGTTGACACCAAGATCACAAACTCGGTCTGAAAGGATATAAAAAGGCACACTTTTCATTGATAATTGATCAGCTATTATAATTTTGTTGCAAAAGAACGGACCTAGTTACCCACCAGAGAATAGACGGGTTACCTTACTAGCCTTTTGTTTGACTGCTCGCGCGTACTTGAATACGCAAAAATACGGACTGTTTTGCAGTCTACCAAGTGAGTGACCAGTGAGAGTACAGCGACGAATTTTATTTTTTAGGAGCGATTGAATGATAGTTCCTTGATTCGTAACGCAGTAGCCGCCATCTTTGATTTTATGACAGAGGAAGATTGGGGAAAGCAAAAATAGCAACCCATAGGGTAGTCAATTTGTAACTAGAGCGGAAGAAGGAGACAACAGAGGGGGAGGGGAGAAAACAAGACGAACAATGATAAATTTTCTCTCCTCCCAGCCCCTTGTTTCCTCTTTTGACTCGCCCCATGGCACAACGTCTGTGTGTTCGGGTCTGAGTCACGCATTGTTCCTCGCCCTCCGGGGAGCACTGCGTGACTCCTACCCGGGAAAAGTAGTCAACCTCGTTCCCGGGTTCTCTCCTCATGCCCTCTCCTAACCGTCCCTGCGGTGAGAGAGAGAGGTAGAAGAGAGAAACTGGGAACGAGGTTGGTGACGGGTGGGTAGCACTAAAAGATTGAATAATTGTTTCGCAACCGATAACAAAAATAATTTATATGTTTTCGAGTATCTGATATCGATATCACCCAAAACATAGCTATAGCGGGAGAGGAAAGGAGAAGTCACTCTACCCATCACATGGATTCAACGGCTTAAAAAACATGTCTTGGTTTATTCCAGTTGTGATCGGATTCTTGGCAATCTACCTTGTACGAAGGTTGATGTTAATATCAACAGTTGACATCAAAGGGAAGTTTGTTCTTATTACAGGCTGTGACTCTGGCTTCGGTCGTGAAACAGCCATACGATTGGACAAGATGGGTGTTTACGTTTTAGCGACTTGTTTAACAAAACAAGGAGAGGAAAACTTAAAGAGCGTGACGAGCAACAAACTGCAGACTTTTCAACTGGATGTTACAAACACGCAGCAAGTTGAAGAAGTCTACGAGGAAGTTAAAAGAAAGATACCGTCTGATGCAGGTATAACTTGTAACTTCATTTTTGTTTAACAGAATACTACTGATTCGTACATAGCGCTCTTAAAAGTTTTAGGGTTTATTCAGTTTACTTGAATAATGATGGCAATCATTCTTTGTTCAAAACATAAGAATATTCTTATGTAATATAGAAAACATATAGTTACTGGCAAGGGTCAGTGCTATTTTTACACTTTGTAACAAAAAATTTAAAATCCATTTGCTTCATTTGTTTTAGAAAATAGATAAGGTTATCCGCTTTGTCATGTATCTATCTGTGTTTATGCTAATTTGCTGTTTTGTTGTTTGTGCCCCTGGACTGGGAAATTCCATATTTTATCCCCCACCCGTCCACTGAAAGATGGTTGGAATCCGAGCCTTGACTTTTTGTCGGTGCCCTTCGTAAAATGGCAGCCGAAGGGTTAACTTTTTGTCGGTGCCATGGAAAAAATTGATTGAAAGGTCCAAATATTTTTAGGTCAGGGTTTCGTCACGCGTTCCTTCGCTACTAACGATTGCAGCAGATGCACAAGGGGTTAAATTCATTTCACTTTGTTCGCAAATATCAGCTGGAGATCACGTTCAGATTACTGGAGAACAAGCTTAAGCTTACGTAGAGTGACGGATGAGGGAATTTAAAGACTGATTCCTTCGGATTCGCATTTGACGTCCTCTTCGAATTTAGTGTTGGCCAGCATGTTTTGTTCTGGAAGCTGTCACGGCGCGCATGCGCATGGCCATGAACCGCCGCCTTAAATCGCGCTTGCGTCACCGTCTTCTTTGATTAGCCTGATAGAATCTGATCCGCTATCATGGGTTAAGCTTTCATAAAGGCTGTTTGTAATCTCGTACCCAGATCTCACTCTGTTTTTCCCTTGGCCCTGGGAGATCTGGGTACGAGATTAGGCTGTTTGTGTAACATGAGATGTTACAGAGGAACAATTGCTTGAAAACTTACTCTGATAACTTTTAGCAGAGGAGGCTCGTTATGAAAACCCGCAAGCGTCCAAGATGAAAACAATGGTGCAGCACGGTGCAAAATATATTGTTTTGTGAGTGAATAAGTTAATGCCACGTTTCCGTTGGTCAGAAATTCGTTAATGAAAGGTAACAAAAACAAAATAAAAAGAAGTATGACAGGCTCGGGCTTCATAAGAAGGTCCTTTATTAACCATGACTCTTTTTTTTCTCTCACTTTGCATGTTGGCAGGACTGTGGGGGTTAGTGAACAATGCGGCGATACTTTCTTTCAGTCCTATAGAGTGGACCCCAGTCAGTACATTTAAACGCCTTGCGGAAGTTAATCTCTGGGGAATGGTTGACGTCACTAAAACATTTCTACCGTTGGTGAAAAAGGCGCGTGGACGCGTTGTAAACATGTCAAGTGCCGCAGGTAAGTACAGTCAAACATCCTGTAAGCGACCAACGCCACAACGGCGACCTCTGTACAATGGACTCTTTTTTAGCGGACACTTCATAGATCGACTCTTATTTAAGGTGGCTGAACACAGTTTTGCGGGTGGTCAACGGTAACTCGCATGACGGCGCGTGTTTTAAATTAGACAAACAAACATGGGTGCGAAAAAGCAATGGTACACAGAAGACGATTTCTCAAAATCTACTCATTAAAATTTTGTGATATTTGGCAGAAGTCTTGCCTTTATCATATTTTAAAGAATGAGAACTTTAAAATGGATGTCGAACAGACGATTTTGTGACACATTTAATATTTACAGTACAATTATATTATTGATTATCTAAAAACCCGTCTGTTAAAATTTGGTCAAATAAGTTTCAAATGGTAATGATTAACTATAGTAAGCTGGGTAGAAGTTTATAGGAAAATCTAATGAGCGAATTTTATGTAAACTGAGCAAAAGTGAAATTTTAAGGTTGTATTCTGTCGTTCATGTTGCCATGGCAACTACGAAAACGTCAAATTTTACCTGTCAATCAAAATCTTTCTTCAGCTTCGGAACCGGCCCTCATGTCCGTCTTTAAGAGAGGTGTCTGATGTATTGTGAGAGTAGAGGTAACGTGACGCCAGTAATTTTAAGAAACTAACGCTAATCCCATTCGCGATGAAAAGACACAGCTAAAACTGGAACATTATAGCAGAAAAGTGGAATCATTTTCTCACTGTGCTAACAAATGTTCATTCATAAAGCAAACGTTCACCGCTTCGTGGCCTTAAAGCGTAACAGTATATACTCTGCGCACCGGTGCAAGACTACAAAATAATAATTTTGCAATTTGCTGTCATGTAGAGCACCTACACTTCCGTTTTGAGGTTTTTTTCACTGCATACAGCACTTCTCAAGAGTCCGTTGACGGTCTCAAAAGTGTCCGTTGTCCGTCAGATGTGTCTGTCTTATAGAGAGTACAGTTACAGTAAAATGGGCTGTAAAACAGCAGTGACCAACACCAGGTGTCCTTCTTAGAGAGGTGTTCGTCTCATAGAGGTGTCCGCTATATAAATGGAGTTGGAGGGTTCATAAATATGTTACTAAACAGGCCACTCTCAATGGCGTTGAAAATGTTCCACTGCTATTTCTTTGAATTTCTTTTTATAGATGACTAAAGTGAAACTTAAATTACGCGGACACCCTCGGGGACTGCTGTGGTGTCCGCTTAATAGAGGGTGTCGGCCAAATACAGTGTCCGCTTAGTGCAGGGTGTCCGCCTAGTATAGTGTCCACTTAGTACAGGGTGTCCGCCTAATACAATGTCCGCTTAATACAGCGTGTCCACATGGTTAAGTGTCCGCTTAATACAGGGTGTCCGCCTAATACAGTGTCCGCTTAATAACAGGTGTCCGCTTAATACAAGTTTCACCGTAAAAGATTTCCCAAACTAGAAGCCATTACACATGATCATCTGGTTGGCCAGCTTCTAATCATTAAAATTTATACTTGGCTCCGAGACTGAGGGGAGTGAAATAAAAGAAATAAGTTATTATTCACTGAATCTCAATGCGAATTTGGTTTTATTCTTCTCAGTCTCGGAGCAAAGAACCAAGTATGAATTTTAATGATTTGAAACTGACCTTCAAAAAATGACTTTATAGAGGTAGCACAGTTACCGGTAACCCAGTAGTTTACATTGTGGCTCAAAAATAAGGACAGAAACACATAATTGAAATAAATATAGCAAGGATAAGAATCCCAACTGACCGGACGCAGACCAGTTGGTTATTTACAGGCGTGACCGAGGAGTCGCACACTGTATTGCCGACAACGCAAACTCAAAATGGTCATACCTACATGTCATGGCATGTTATTTCTCAACAGCTCGATTCCCTGTTAACTTGGCTGCAGCCTACATTATTACTAAAACTGGTGTAGAAACGTTTTCGGACGTCCTCAGGCGAGAAATGCATCCCTGGGGCATCAAAGTGAGCATACTAGAGCCGGGTGCACACCAAACTCCCATGTTAGATCCTAGTATGGTTGAAAGACAATTCCGACAAGGCTGGAATGACTTGAGTGCCGAGCTAAAGAGGGATTACGGACCAGAATACCTAGAAAAAGGTACTAATCCATTTCTTCATAGTTCATTCTCCATCATTTTCTATTGCAGTGACTGGTGAAGAACCCTGTAAATTGAGCGTCGCTGTAGTCTCTTTTAAGTCCAAAGCACTTAAGACCCAAAAAAATTTGGCGCGAGAAAGAAAAAAAGCGTGCTTTTTACGCCCTTTGGAAAGGAAAAGTAATGTCACGTGAGTCAAACTGGTAGTCTCTGATTTATCATTCTTAGCAATTAAACAATTGTGATGAAACGAAATCCCGCAATGATATTGGCCACTTTAACAATGGCGTCTCTTGACTACAACTACAGTTGAATCTCACAAATTACAAAGCAGCCACCCGAATTGACAACGTCTAGTGGACTCTTACAGAAGGTTGTCGCGTTTAAGAGTCAAGCTACGGGGGTTCTTTCGGACAGGTCTGAAATATTTTCCTTTATGCTCATACTGTGAATGGTTTGAAGTCATGACATAAGTAAGTGGAATACGATCGTCCGGATGAGTGTAGTCCTGATTAGGACTGTTTTTGACAGTGACTGAGGTTTCAACAGCCTGACTGTCAGGTAGTCAGCTTCTTTGGCATCTTCTGCGCCGGGTGATTAATTTACTTTTTCATTTGTCATTGAAATTAACTTATACAATTGATAGGCAAAAAGCAATGCTCTTTATTCTACATAGGAAAGGAAAATCGTTCGATGATTCCAGCTTGTTCCAAGCACTCAGTTTGTCGGGAAGAGCGAAAAGAAAAAGCGAGCACGAATAGGGGAAGGAGCTATACGCATTCTCACTCGCCCTTTTTTGGAGCTCACTGTTTTTTGCCATTGTTTAGAACAACTGAAGAGGCTTTGTCAAACAAACCATGGTGCATTAGTAAAAATTACATCAAAATATGTTCGATATTTTTCTCCCCTCTCCCCTACTCGCCTCCTTCGCCCTTACGCCTACTTCAAGAGCTGTAGTTTCTACTCTACCCATTCCTTCTCGGTGATAAAACCAGAGATGGCGGCCACGGCATTTTCGAACGTAAAAAAGCAGCTTTCATCCGACCCCAAAATACGCTTTCATCGCGGGCTACTACGTTTATGCTCATTTTCCTGATTGGTTTTCATTGAGCAGCAGACTATCTTATTGCCGGCGAACCATAGTGTTTAGATCGAGTTTCCTTAAAAAAAAAATGGCCCGGAAAATAAGGCAGATTCATTACCGGTAATTTTATTACATTTTTAGCAATAGCAAGCTTGACAGGGGAATTCTCTCGCAAGACGTATCAAGTTGTGGACGCCATAGTAGAAGCGTTGTCGTCACAGACACCACGTGATAGGTATTTAGCTGGTGTGGATGCACGGTTTCTCTTCTCGTGGTTGCCGTTGTTACCTGCCTTTGCGGGAGACACCTTAAACCGGGTAATATTCAAGCCACCATCACCGCTGACCAGCAAGTAATGCTGGTCAACCATTCTTGTCGGTTTTGTATAAAATTACTGTATTAATATCGGACTTGTGTAATTGTACGTATCACAGCCCAAGTACATTTGTTTTCATATTTCCGTCTACTAATTCAACTGATGTCTTGAGATAACAATCTTCTGTAACGGCCTGCTCGACTCGCCTTTGTTCGTACGATCAGCGGCAAAATACGTTTCATAAGTCACCGACGTTTTGGCTTGTCATTAGAAACGTTACTTGGTCATGTAGTTCCACCTGAGATCACATTTTGGTTGGATGGTTTTGCTTTGGCAAGCGATTAGTTCTAAGCGTTTAGTAGAGTAATTTGCACTCGTTCTGGTCAAGTCAGGATTTAGGGTTAGGGCTTAGGGGACTGCTCTGATCAAGATTTCTTTTGGTATAAAAAAATGTTTTATCCAGCGATTTTCTTAGTTTTTGCCATGTGACAGATATAATGCTTTGCTTATTTCACCCTAAGAGATTTATTGTTAACGGAAACCGGTGATCAGTTTTATTAGCTTTAATTATGATCAATATCGTAAATGCTCGGTCTGTTATGTAATTATGCTGTATGTAATTGTATTTCATATCGAATAATTTGTACATTAAATTATACGATAGACGGTTTCCTGGTTTGTCATTTGTGTGTCCATTCTCCAGCGGTCCACCGACAGTCCCCGTGCAACGAAAACTCCTATTCCGAGCCCCCTATAGGATAAAATAGCGATTCCGGTGCCTAAAATGGTAAAATAATGATTTCGCTACCCTATATTAAAGCCAGAGTTAAAGATAGTAACAGGATCCCACTCAGAACCTTCTAAAAAATGTCTACCAAGGGAGGGGACGCTAGAGGCTACAGGCTGTGTGCAGCGCAGAGCATTCTGGATTGGGCTTTGCGATTAGTTTTTCGTTATGCTGCCTTGTTACGGTCGCGCAACTTTCGTTATACAGGTATGTCGAATTGTTTTGGCGCCTTTTTTCTATAATTAACAATTATTCCTCGAGCCCGAATAGGCTGTCAGTCAACAGTCCATGAGGCCGAAGGTCGAATGGGTTATTGACCCAGAGACCATGAGGGTGACAGGAATAATTGTTTTAGTGAATTCCAACTAGTAGGTCAAATATATCGACACAAAACAATTTTAGCTAGCAAAACGTGATTTAGCCGCCATTGTTTTGGTTTTCAAAGCCGGCGCTTTTCGCTACTAGTGGGCTATAACATATAGCCTAGTAGTAGCTCAACCAATCAGAACGCAGCATTGATAATAGACCACTAGCTGGATTTTACTAAAAAACGTTATCCTATTTATTCATTCTTGTTATGTGCTCCTGTCTTTTTTTCATTAATTTGGTTTTTGTAATTGGACGCAAGGCTCCCCTGCTCGACTGAACTAGCCAGGGACCAGCCTCCGCTGTGGGAGGAACTTGAATGGCAAAAAAAACGGATTGAAACTGACTGGAAAAACGGCCAAACGATGGAATGGGGAGGGGGAAAGGGCGCCACCCTTTCCCTCCCCAGAACACCGCTCGGCTCTCTTCACTTGCGGTCTTTTTTTCGCCTTTTCGTCTACTGCCGAGCCTGGTCCCAGGCTAGACTGAACGGGAAAGGCCCCTCGTGCGCATTTATTTGTCATTTCAATTAGAAGTTTGCGTTACGTCACCCCCATTCATTGCGCGCTCTGATTATCACTTAACTAACGCCAGATACAGCGAAAATTTTTCCAACCCATTTTAAAACAACCTAAGATGTCAATGATATAATACTGCTAATCAATTATAACGATGGCACGAAACGAAGAAGTCGAAACTAGCGCTGAAAGCAACGAAAATAAGGAAGAAAAAGTCATTCAAATTGGTGCCAAATGTCGAGGGCCAGGGCCAGCGAAATATCTTCTTCCTGGTACAGTTGGAATTAAACAACACGATATTCGCTTGAAGCGATGCCCTGCATTTAGTTTTGGCCAACGCCATAAAGAATTTTCATCGAGTTTTGTACCGGGACCGAAGTACATGTTCCCGGCTTATGTGACACGCAAGGGAAAGGAGGCTTCTCCCGCATTTTCACTGTACAGTCGTACAGCAGATAAACATCACTTCTTTACACCCGGCCCAGGTAACAATTCACTGAAAAAAAAGTGCTTTGGTATTTGTTATTTTGTTTCTAATATAATAATTTTTTAATTGTTTGCTTGTTTGTTTTATTCATTTGATTGATTGTTGCGTCTTTTGTTGTTGTCTTTTGAAACGTTTATTTTTACTTTGTAATACTCGGTTACTCTTTCACCATTCCTTTTTATAAATTTGATTGTTTGCTCAAGACCGGATTTTGCGGGCAGGTGGGGGGAGATTGGGTGGCTCGCCTTTCACCTTCAAGATAACTCTCACATTTAAACATTAAAAAAGGTTTAGTGAAACTAACAGAAAATAGATCACCCTTGACAGGTGCGTTAAAGTTTGTTTTTGTAACTAAGACAGTACAGTGTTTTGTAAAATGCGTAACAGGAGTCAGTTCCACCGCAAGATGGGATCACTGCAAAACATTGAGGCTTGTTTGTGAATTCACTTTCACGTATTCTGCTTGTTTCATGGTGTTCGGCCTTTTTGATTTTTGTTTGTTTGTTTGCGGCGGGGCTAAAATGCTGGTAACTGGTAATTGGTAACGGGTAACTAGTAACCGGCAACGGGTAACGGGTAGCCCAATGAGCGGGCCTAGACGAGCAAAGAGTAGCCTGGGGTTAAGAAGGCGCGTGCGAGCGTTGAAAGGAAAAAATACGTACCTTATTGGTGTTTAGTTTCGCGGGTACTTAGTTTCGCAGTTTTGGCGAGACAGTATTTCGCGGGGTGTTATTTTTTTGGTTATGGGGTCCTGCGCGATCTAACCAGAAAAACATGGAAAAAGGGCATTAAATTTAGGGAGGATTCTTATTTGCGGGTCTGTAAAAACGCGATGTCTTCGAGTTCAGGAAGAGTGTAGCACGTTTCACTGAAAATTTTTTTTGTACTTTGTTATTTTATCGCCACTTATAAAACTGCTTTAAAGTATCCTACTTTTTTTCTTTCTCAGGCCAATATTCTCCAGAAAAATGTCATCCACCCCACGAAAAAAGAGCTCCATGCTTCACGATCAAGACCCGTACAAAGTATTCATTTAAAGACCCCACCCCATCCCCCAACTCCTACTCTCTCCCACCCCTGATAGGTCCGAAGGTTGTAAGTGCTCAATCAGCACCAGCCTACTCTTTGAGCGCGCGATCTGCTATTGGTGGATTCAGCGAGGATCTTCAGAAGGTGAGTACACTGGGAACGAATGAAAAAGCGAGTTTTGATTGGATTGATTTAGGTTTAAAACATATTGTTAGTCGATCTCACGAGATTGGATTTCATTGGAAGAATGCTGGCATTAAGGACTCTTGAAAACAATACAAATACAATAAAATCGATGAAAGTTGAAGCTTCAATTAACGCGCAAATACTAAAGCAAGCTGCTTTCCGAATTCCAAGGAAAGTATGTTAGGGTTATCACTAAGGGCCGGGGGCTAAGTATTTCCCTCGGCTACTATGAGCATGACCTCCAGCTACTTGAATAGGAAATAGACCACCCAATAGAACTTCCTAGCCGTTCAATTCCCTGTCTACTGATTTCATATACCCGCCAACTTGAAATCTCAGTGATGGCCCTGGTATGAGCATCCTCTAGTAAATCAGTGGTTTTACAAAAAACCCTGTTCGTTTTCAAGAATGGATCGTGACAGCAATAGCGGAAACAGCAATAAATATGGGAACCCTCTATCCATTTTTCCCTAAAAAAAAGCCGAATTTCACAAACGGAGAACCGTCATCAACCCCAAATTACTACTCAATACCGAACTCAACTGAAAATTGAACTGAAAAGCCAATATCACTCTCCTGTCACTGTTCTGTACGAAAATTCTAGTTAGATAACCCTTTTCTAATTTCGCTAGTTTGTTCCCGTTGCTTTTATCAGACACCTGGTCCCGGAACGTACGAAGTTACTCAGCCGAACACAAATAAACGACGAATGCCAGCTTACACAATGAATGGTCGCAACTACATGCCAGTGGACTCTACACTTAAACCAGGACCAGGTCAACACCGCCCTGAGAAGGTTCGTAAATATTGAATGATTCAAAGAACAACAAAGAATTTTTTATATAGCCAAAAGAATTTGCATGGTGCGCTCGGAGTGCCAATCAGAACGCAAGATTCGCATTATCTTGCCTGCCCGCCGAGCTAGTCGTAATAATTCCCATTAAAACATGAATGAAACTTGTAGGTTTCAACAACAACAACAACAACAACAAGTTATGAAGGTACTTCAAATGAATTACATGTCATTACCCAAAATAACATTTATAGGTAATGTTAAAAAAGAAAAAGGAAATTAACAAGAAAGGGAAAGATAAAAGCAGCAATAAGTCTGCATACGAAAGGAACAATAATATTGAAAACGAATACTGTTGAAGGCTAATTGTATTATAAAGATTGCTAGAAAATAGGGACTTTATGAATTAATGAGCATTAATGTATTGATTAAATCTAAAACGCCCAACAAGTACAGGAGGCTTTGCAGGTGTTCTGTTCACATACAAACGTAACAAGCAAATCGTAGCCCACCTTGAGAGACAGGTTTGTTCGGAAGAATAGTGCTTAGTGTGAACTCAACCAATTGTCAGAAATGTATATTGGCTAAATTTAAGACACGGCTTAGCCAGTCAGTAAGCAGGATTATTAAAAACAATAACAGATTCTCTCAATAGTTAATAAAAAAAATAAAACAGAGCTAATACTGTTATTGAATTTGTGTGGTGGTCAAAGAAGCATTTGCTTTCGAATTGGCAACCACCTACTTTAGAATAACAAAAACACACTGAGCTTAACCCGGAATCTAAGACTAGCATATTATTATTTAAAGATTGAGATAAGTTAGAGATATATTGAACTATGGACTATGTATTTTAAAATTTAAGGAGAAAGAGAGTAAATCAAATATTAAATAAATAAATAAATAAAAATTGTAAATAATTAAATAAAGAAATAACGTTAAGAGAAAAGGGGACAAACAAGCAGAAAAAAAGGAAATAAGCAAGCAAACAAGCAGCAAGGAGACAAACAAAGTAAGGACTGAAGCATTTAAAGTATTAAACATTTGAGTACTAAAGAGAACATATCTCATTTGATTAACAAGAGATTAAATGGGCTTTGGAAAGTTTCTTAAATCGGTTTGGGCTTTCTAGTTGTTTTAGCGTCAAGGGGACAGTTTCCCAAAAAACTGAAGCAGAGTACTGAACAGTATATTTACTCATGTTTGTCCTAACTTTTTGACGGTAAAAATTGAGTTTAGTCGAGTTCCTCTTTCATCTCTCCTCATTTAACTCTCCACCCCGTTTTGACCATCATTAATAAATAATAATCAAATTTTTTGAAGTGGGCTACGCTGTGAGAAATGTTCGTTTTTTTTTCAGTACAGTGCAGAAAAATCCCTGAGATCACAATTTCAGCATTTCATTATAGCCCCCCGCCCGCGGGGAATGGGGAGGGGGCTATGCAAAAAATTTTACACGGGGTGGCTCCGCCTCCAGATCTAATCCATTACCCTTTATATACCATTTTTGACAGAAAAGGTGCACCTTTCATTTACCTTCCTTTGAATAAAGGACTTTTCATATACTTCAACTCGTGAATTACCTACTCTTTGATATCCCTAAGGCCTGAAAAAGGTAGGTCAGTGCTCCTTTCGGGCGGAGCATCCCCTTGTAGGCCTTTACATGGAGTGCCCCCCCTCCCATTTTCGGGGATAGCGACTAGAGATTGTATTGTTGGGACCAACATTTGCAGCCTGTGAATGGGGCTTTGCTTTAGATCATGTGTATATATTCTAATCACTGTGCGCCCTTTTTTTCCAGGTTGTATACAACAAACCCACGGCACCGAAATTCAGTTTCGGAGTCAGGCACAGCGACTACATCACAGTTCCTCTTTGTACAAACACGTGATCAAATAAACAATAACATACCTTCAATTTACTTTTCGTATTTACTCCAACTGTACAGAATCTCTGTTCAATTAAAATTTCTTTACAGCTAGATCAGAGAAAATGCTTAAGACTCTATGGTGTGGATAATTTCTCCACTGTCGTAAGAAAGCAAGATTTGATAAACGATTTATTGGAATTCCAATAAGTGGACGTTTATTCCACATGGAACATGATGGATGGAAGAGAAAAGAGTTTTCATCGACTTATTCCACTGTGGAGCAATCAAAAGTATAAAATCAAAAACTGCACCCACATTGGCTACCAAGACTCTGAGTTTAAATGTATTAAAGAAAATTTGAATGTTTGATTGTAAAACTACATTCCCCACTGATCTGCCACTTTCACATCGAAAGGGTTGAATCCGTGGAAAACTGAAAAAACAAAGCAAAACAAAACGACCAAAAAACAAAAAATAGAACAAGGAAATATATTTCGGCGTGCGTATTCACTGGGCCTGATTCAAATTTCCGGCGAATTTTGCACAATAGAAAAGGGTAGCTCACAAAAGGCTAACTAATAACTATTAAATAAATTTCTGATCCACTAGAACTGACCATCTAACACTTACAGAATTAATTGGTGGAAAAAACGGACAGACTAAGATTTACACGGGGAGGCTCCTTACCCTTTAATATACCATTTTTGACAAAAAAGGTACCTCTCTCGTATACCTTCTACTGACAGGTGGTAGCCCTTTCACAGACCTGGTCTAGAACGCTACATCCCTTTTAACTGCTTTAAGTCTTTTAATATGAATGAATCACTAAACTACCAAGTTTTCTGGTCACTTTCACATCAATAAAATGAGTTTGTTAGCCCTTTTGCTGCTTTTAAAAAGCGAAATGACAGATTTCTCTACCGTTTAATATATTTCAGGTAATAAAGTTCCTACCCTTTAATATACGTGACATACCTTAAGCCTGAGAGAAATAACCCTTTCAGGCGGAACCTCCACTTATAGGCCATTATATGGAGTACTTCCCCCCCCCCCCCCCACGGGTTTTGTGTGGGGGGGGGAATGTGGGGGGGGGAACCAAACATGAAGGGGGGGCAGGGCGAGAAAAAAATTATAACAACACACAGATCGCAAAAGAAGGCGACGAGGGATAATTAAAAAAAAAAATATTGTGTTGGTGAGTTTTAATATTGTTTTTATGATCCAACACCTCAGTATAATCTAGCACGCACTGAACCTAAAAGAAAATACACATCGTCAGGAGACCCCCCCTTAGAGGGCTTATTAGGGGGGTGCCCCCCCCCCCCCCCCCCCCATGGTGATTGACTGCTTGGATGACTTATGGAGGTGAACAACTAGCTGAATGGCAGGCAGACGGACTAAATGACTGACTAACCTAACAGATTGACCAGGAGACTGACTGGGCATAATTGAAAATATAAAACTGTTCTAGTGAGGCTTTAAACTGCTGTTTAAAAAAGTAAAATGTAAAATTGAATGATCGGCGAAAGCTTGGATTTTAGATTTTACTTTAAATTTTTAAAAAGCAGGTTAAGGCTTCACTAGAACAGTTTTATATTACTAATTTTAATGTTCATAAGAGTGTTAGTTTGTGTTTTTTCATTCTTTATTACACGAACTGAAGTACAAAAAGTACTTTTGGAAAACTAATAATTATACTTGAAAAACATCAACAACATTAAAAACATCTATGAAAGTGAACATGATCTTCGCCGTGAAATGAACAACCTTCGCGGTTGAAAAAGATCCTGAAAAATTCCAGGCTTGTCCGGGAACGCTACATCACTGTATTGCAACCTACTTCTTTACCACCAACAAGATACACCTCAGTTCTTAAAATTGACACTTAACAAAAGCTAAGATAGAGCATGCTAACAGCAGGATGGTGCTGACCATCGAGACTTGGGCTCCATTGCACAGGTCGTCATTGCAACAGTGGATATCGCACTTGGTGACTGTCGCTGAGCTGCCCATTTTGAGCGAGTCACATTTTCTCTGGCTGCATTCCTCTGAAGTGGTGCAACTTTTGCCATAAAACTCAGTTGCCCTGCCAAAACTCTTCATTTCCATGACAGCTTTGCCACAACGGTCCTCATAGCTAGAGCAGAACAGCGTTTTAACTTTGTCCTTGCAGTCATCCCAGCCATAACTGGAGAGACACATTTCGCATTTAAGGGCGCAACCTGTGAAAAATAATATTTACATTTGTTATTCATTCAAATCCTTTTCCTTAGTTTTGATTGATTCTTCTCAACCAGCTAGCGTTGACCAAATCTGGAAGATGTCTTCCGATATCATCAAAAGGCTCAAAAATGCATGGGTGACTTTACCGATAACTGTCAGAAAAGGCGGCAGCAGAAAGCGTAGCAGCTCAGCTGTTTTGACAGAGCTGGGGAAAATGGTGGAAGACTTATATTTCGCACGTTATGCGAAGAAGAAACAGCCGAAGCACTGCCTAAAAACATAGCGACAATAGAGTAAATACTAATTAATCGACAGATGAAAAACCGAGAACAAGAATATATACTCAACGATACATCTCATTTAATGAAGACGAGAATAGACCTTGTCACGGTTTTGGAAGCCATCTTGACGAGTAGGCAACCGCGTGAAAAATTACTTTGTTTGTATGAGAATCTAATGTCAAATAATTTCCGTAAAAAGGCTGTTCTGAAAAAAATATGAATTGTAAAATAAAGCTATACAGCAAAGGATTCTTCTAACAAATTTTTGGGGCTGTAACTGTGCTTAAATTGGGAAGCATGTTGTGAACTTAAATATTGGAATGAAACATCGAAATAGTTTTTGGATTCAGCTTTCGTATAATATGAAAAATTATGCAGATCAAGGAGGGTGTTGTTTTTTCCCTGTCAAAACAAATATAAAAAAAAACAAAAGTTATTGCTGGCAAGCAAAATGCGAACTTGCAGTCGTATTTTTGGTGCGTGTGGTCAGCGCCACTTTGTATACTGTATAGCGAGATTTTTGCAAAATCTGTCCACATTCTTGGGCTATCCTAGTTCTGCCAACCAATATGCATGATATTTGGCCGTGAAGGCCCTGGTGTTGAGATTAAGGTCTATCTGATGTCCTCACTGGAATCACATGAATGTAAATTTCCGAATCACACGCAACAATATTTGTTCGATTCGCAACGCAAACACAAGTATTTCAGGTATACACGTGACGTTTTGTTCGATAATGTACCAAAGGCAATTTGCCTTGCCCGCCGGAAATCTATTTACCAAGAGAAATAAGAGTAGCGCCTGATCTCAGCTCAGTGCGGTTTAGTGCGAGGCGAGCCTTCGGGAAGACAGAAGTGATTGCAGAGCGTATACATCCATATATGAAACAAAGTTAGTAGAGGAGACGGTTAGGAAAGCGGGCAAACATCAAAGGTGAAAACAAAAGTGTTGCAGTTTATGTTGGAAGCTCCTTGACCGTGCACAATTTTTTGTTTTTATGTTCACAAATTGTGACTGAATAATATAAATTAACGCCATGTTTATTTTGGTCAGTAAGTAAACAATGATAGGAATGCTATTGAACGTTGTGCACGGTCAGGTCCGGAAGAGCGAACAAAAACATATAACGAAGGAGTATAACGGGTTTCATAACCGTTCCACTTTAATAACTATGATGTAAATTAAATTAAATCTTGTTACACTACAGAGCATTGTTTTTATATCTTATACCTGCCTGGCACCCAAACGTCTCTCTCTCTCGTTGAAAATTTACGCGCAAAAGGAGGCGGGATGGAGAAAACGGGCGAGACGTGCTTCGCCTCCCTTCCTTGCCCTTAACACGGTCCCTTGCGCTTTCTCACCAGTCACTCGCGTTCCGCCTATGTCTCTATGCGAAACCACGCGAACAACGAAACACCTGAGGAAGAGGCTGGTGCTACGCGCCTTACCGTTGCCACTCGAGAAAGTTTTTGATTCAATTTTGACATATTTTAACAGCTTTCTACCAACTTCAAAGCGAGCCAGCCAATCAGAACATGAGAACTGCCAAGGGTGGAGATGTCAAATTATAAGCCTGTTTTCTCCTTAGGATTTTACAGGTCTCACAGCAAGCAAACGATTATGGCGTTCCAGGTGAAAGTTGAATATGGAAAGAAACGCTTTGAAACTTTTCTCCCAGAAAATGTCTCTTACAATGGTCTTGTAAGTAGCATAAAAAAGTATTGTTCTTCTGCGGCCCAAATTGACGCTGATAAGATAAGACTTCGCTACCGTGACGAGGATTGCGAAATGGTGAATGTTTGTCCAGCAGATTATTTTTGAGTTCTTGGAAATGCTTTTTACAGCGAAAGACCGTGACCGCAACAAAATATTTATTCAAGCTAATGAAATTAAACTATCCATTCCCACGCAAAATGAGGCGAGTGGAATTTGTTTCCGTCAGAAAAACCTTCGGTAGACGAAAATAACTGTAAAAGACATACGCTTCTTGATAACGACATTGCAGGGTTAACGAATGTCTTAAACTTTTCAGGTACGTGTAATGATGTGCCATGTGACACGATCTGAAATCGCCACTTACGCTATCTTGGAAAGTGCTTCTGTGATCCACCCTAAATTGGGGAGCATTCAAATCAGATCCCCGCTTTTCATAATTCTTCGAGCAACCCCGTTCAGTCCCTAGAACTGAGGAAACGACAGGTACTATATACCGGTGTGCGACAAACGCAGACTGCGGAGTGGCAGGTAAACAAGGTAGACATTGTTGTAGAATACTCTAACAGATTCCCTATCCCTAAACTAGACTTTTAAATGACTTAAAATTTAGGCATAGGGAATCTGTTAAAGCATTCCACAACAAGGTTTTCCTCGTTTACCTGGCAGTCTGCAAGTCTGCAGTCTGCCTTTGTCGCACACTGATGTCTCGGTGTCTTAAACTTTTCAGGTACAACGGTCTAATGATGAGCCATGTGACACCATCTTAATCGCCGTCTAAGCTTTCTTGGAAAGTGCTTCTGTGATCCACGCAAAATTTGGGAGCGTCTAAATAAGACCTTCGCTTTTCATAATTCTTCTAGCAACCCTGTTCAGTCCCTGGAACTGAGGAAACGACGGGCACTATATACTGAACAAAAGGTTATGTTGAAAAACGAAATGAAAGGGCAGAAGCTCCATGAAAATGCCGCTGTGTTTTATTGGACAACATGACCTATGCTAAATTATGCGGTTCAGTAGCCCACTGAATAAATCTTTTGGCCCAATCTGACGCAAAAAAGGAAATGTTATCTGAAGCGGCAGTCAATCTAGTAATACCTCAACAAGTAATAAATACGGCTCTAAAGGAACTTACCGACTGATAAAACAAGAAGAAAGATCAAAAGGAATAGGGTCCTCATTTTGTAGGCGACGCTGCATCTCCACACTGTTGTGAAAAGGTTACTTCAAGTATTTCAAATGCGTCTTCTCAAATACAGACCATCTGTCTCGATTGGTATTCTATATGTATTTATATCAACCAATAGAAACTGAATTTTTCACAAATAGGTCAACATTTGCTAAAGAAAAAGACTGGGCACTAGTATTTGTTTTCAAGTTTAATAGCCAACTATACGTGATCGAAGGATGAAAGGTATGCATCATAATCGATGTCACCTGCTTTTGTTGATAAAAACTTGGAACTAGACAAGGGTCGAAAAGCGTAAGACCACTGCACGACTAGAAAGCTAATATATAGCTTGCTGCATACGACGGAGGATTATAGCCATGCCATATTCACCCTTGAAGGCAGATTTACCAAAGGCAATGAGATAGTTAGTGCATATGGAAAGAAACTTAGCCCTCCCTAAGTTCACACCGAAAAAGAAACGTGAGCTTTGCCAGAAGGTTTCATATCAGTACATGGAGTCCAGTGTAGAGTCTTAAACACCTCCCTACAGTTTATAGAAAGCTGGGAATCGGTGACACTGTCGGGAAACATTGCTAATTTCATATCGAGAGGGGAGAAGACGTTCTCGTTACAAATAATACGAACTACAATTAGTAGGCCCAGCAGGATGATACGAAGCAAGCTTTGTCGATATATTTGTAAAGTCACCCTGCTCTACAGTCAGATGAAGCTTGCAGGAAGCAGGAAATCAGATCAACTTATTATATGTCCCGAACAAAAACTACTTGACGCGAAACTCATCCGGCTTTCTGAGAAACTTTAGCATGTTTACAAGTTTGTGTTTTCCAGGAAAGATGGAGCTCCGCAGAACAACAAAGATTCGAACTAATGCGAGAAAAGAACAGTTCATGCGAATAATCGTAATTTCTCAGAAGCGTTGCCAATAGATGGTTTTCACAGTGACGTCATCAAACTGTTAAGTCAAAACAGCGAGGTTTTACGAATTCTTATTTAGACTAGGTTGAAGATAAACAAAAAATAAATCTTTGTTCAAGTTTCCATTCCCGTAGCATGTTTCATTTCGAAAATACAGCAATACGAACTTCCGAGTTTTCACAGTGCGTGACACCAAAACAGGAATGCTGTCTCGTTGAAAAAAGTCTCTCCTCTCGATTTTCAGCAGTATAACCATTTCAAGTATTACAAGATATGTTTATGCGCACGTAGGCTGGTTCTCGAGTGAAAAGAAAGAGCTTTTATAGAAAAAGTGAACTCCAGATGTTTTGTTGATTTCCGGCGGCCATATTGGTGGACCAAAACGGTACACCAATATGACCAACCTCGTCCCCAGGGCTTTTCCCTTAAAAAATGGGTGGGGCGGGAAAAGGCCCTGGCATCGGCTGGTCACGTGTCCCCTCGTACACCCTAAAATCCTGGGTGTAATAAATTAGCGCTATGTGAAAAGCTAAAATTATGCGTAACCTCACAGCGCGCGATCTTGGGCGGCCTTTTACATCTCTTGACGATTAACGAAAAGTCTTACAAGGTTTCCTTTTTGTCACAGATACTGGCTATGGTAATTTTTTGCTTTCCTCCGATTTCTATGAAGGGGACAGCGAGCGGTAACATTTGTAAAACTTCCTTTATAGAGCGATATAAATGACAAACAAGCTATCGTACATGCATAAAGTTTGTACTGGAAAAGTTCGCTTTCGCGACTCTTTTGATATTTTATTTTATTTCTTGCGAAGTGGACCGCCGTACACAACCTAGTTCCATTCACCTTAACTCTCAGCCATATCATCATAGCGATA